ATATATATATATATATATATATATATATATATGTATATGTATGTGTGTGTGTATACACACACACACACACATACACACGTATATATGTATGTATGTATGTATATATGTATATCTATATGATTAAGTTTCGCATATTTAAATTTATAATACATATGTATATCTAGAGACTTTAAAAATATTATTTTAGGGTGAATAAAAAATGTTGATGTAATAATATCAAGAGATGATGTAGATGAAAAATGATAATATATCTATGAAGTGGTGGGTATAGAGAACGGCGTGTTATGAAAAGGAATATAGGCATCATCAATTTTAGGAAATATGAAGCACACACAAATAATGTATTTTTTTATTTTTTTACATACTGATATGTTTGTTTTGCGCTTTTTCATCTTCAATTTTGATAAAATAGGATTTAGGAGCGCTGGGAATAGAAGGTCTTATTTGAAGTAATATCACATATTTATTCAGATGTCTATCACACCAATTTATATTATTAATATATAAATAGAATACAAAGTTTCTAAGCTTACTTGATTTTAATCTCGATAAAATACACACATCGTTCTCTATGCACTATTTTTTTTCAAGTATCTCAAAAATATGATACGGCAACATTATATATTCCTTAATAATTTCTTATTCTATAGTTCAAAAATGATTTCTTGTTAAAATAGGAACGAGATATAATAGATATAATAGATTACATCGAGAATATCTTGTACAATTTTTGTCCCTTACATACACTTTCAAATATACATAATAAATTTAATATTCATCTAAAAATATATTTTTTTAATTTTTTAGAACGACTAAGTCGCTGTAACAAGCTGTTAGAATTACTACTCATGCAAACATATGTATACAAAAAATATTTTTTTAACGTTGCAATTTAAAGTAACAATAGATATTTATAAATTATTAAGCACAAGCATGCAGTTATATATACTGCAAGAAGTGAGATCGCAAATATTTTTTTATAGAAAATATACAGCTTATAATTCAATCGTATTCTTTCTCTCTCTCTCTCTCTCTCTCATACACGTACATACACACATACATATATTCTCACAATAGTTCTTTAATTTCAATATTTTAAAATTATAAAAAAATTCTGATAATTATAAAATCACATATCTTAATATATCAAAATAATAATTAAGTTTACATAATGTTATTATGATCTGCTGTTTTGAATTATAATTCTTTTCATTCTTTATAAATTGATTATAGCAATAAGTTGTAATATATAAAACTTTTATAAATGTCATACCTAGGATTAATAAAGCAGTAATGAAAAAAGGCATAAAATAAAAGTATTATTAGTAATGAAACTACTACCACACTGTTTCTACTGTATCTATACTTTGCAAGCAACATTAATGTTTTGTAATGTCTTGTAAGCAATTGGAAACACATTGTACATAAAGTCTATTTATGCTTCCAGTTTTACAAATAAAATGTGTTGTCTATAGTATGGTTCATATTGCAAAAGCGAGTAGAGAAAGCATTTAATTTTTATTATATTCTATTGCATCAACAATCGAGCGCTATTAAATCATAATCATTGCTGATTTGTTATGAACAGTTATATGTAACAGTTACTTGCAATTATAATTAAAATTGTACTAATAAGTTTAACAAAAAAATGATATTATATTAAACTTTCTATTCGGGTACATCCAACTCACCCAGCAAGTTCGTGATCAGAACCTTCATCAGGTTCATCAGCATCTTCTTCTTCTGCAAAGAAAATAGTATTATTGTTTTTTTTTTATTCATTATTTTATTATTCATTATTATTTATGATAAAGAAGATTAGCTTAAAACTAGTTACAATTATGAACGCAATCGTTTTCATAGTGTCAATGTTTTCATAAAGACTTAAATAATTTGAAATATTTGAGATGTCCAAGTTTTCGAGTCCAAGTCCGAATTCGATTCTATAGCATTTATTAATTATTAAATAATTGTAATCTCATAAAGAAACAAAAAATAAATATAATATAAATTTATATTCAAAACCATGATCTGAAAAATCATAACAAATTTGAAAAACAAAATAAAAAAATTTGGAAAGTGTTTCACAAATATATACGTCAAAGAAAAGTGCTTTTCAAAATAAAGAACATTTTTTACCTGCTAAATGATCCTTTTTACGTCTCGTATAAGCTCGTTTACTTGTAACCGGGACTTGATCGGTATCGCCATGTAATAAGCTGTTTCTATAAAATAGTAGAGGTTGCCAATCTTCTCCTCGTGAAGACGGCATTCCAGCTTGTAACCGTCTATCCAGAAAATTGAGTCTGCAATAAGATGCATCATATCAAAGCGCATTAGTTTGAAGAAAAATTCTAAAAAGAATTAGACTATACAATATGTAGTGAGAGCGAGTGTGGCATAATAGACAGTGCATTGATCTAGTACGCTAGATATCGGGTTCGAATCCCGGTAGGATCAAATATTTTCATATGCTCGTGTCTCTTCTCGACAGTCTGGCAAATTACGAGAGTATTCTTGCCCAGAACCTCCTCAAAAATTTGCCATTCGAAACCGGCGTTAAAAAGTAGGCCCTATATGCCTGTGCATCACCTATATGCGCACCACAGGCACATGAGAGTGAGGTAGAACAGGCCTATAGGTCTATATGAAGAAGAATATGTAATACTTACACTACACGTTTATCCTGTTTGAGAAGTTTATTTGTGAATTCTGACAATATCTCGAGGAATGGTAAATTCGGCGGCGGTCCTGTAGGATCCTGTTCAGCACCATCTGGTGGAGTAATGACAAATAATACACCCGCACGATGTAAAGCCGTAATTGCTTCTCGATTTTTCACAGCGTCTAAGCCGAAAGATAATGCAAATCGCTTCGCGAGTTCCTAAAAATAATAAAAATTATTGATTTTAGTACGTTTTACTTCATTGTATTAGCAAATGATACATCGATTGCTACGTACTTTTATCGCGGTAAATTCTTCACTGTTTCTGTTCACTTTGCCCTTTTCAGTCATTATTTCGTTATACAAAATGTTTAAGCTTTGTTGCATTGTTAGTGCACAATTTGTTTTATTGATATCTCTCGCTTTGCCTAATGTGGTTTTAATGATATCACCATAATCATTGTAATATTTGACATAATGCTTAAATACGTCCGCCGCAGCTTTCGTAGGAATCATATTGTACACGATTAATTTGCAGTAGCCAGCTAAAAAATTTCTTCGTTTATGTAGCTCCTCGATTTTAGAGTGTTCATCATGTTCATCTGCGAAATTTATATCATATACATTTTTACATAATTAGTTTAATCTATATTAATTACTCATTTAGAATATTAAATTTAACGACAGAATAGTCGTTATTAAATTTATTAGAAATGATACATGTGCTTGAAAAGATCGACTAATAATTAACATAGCGGATAGCAGATTCAGATCTTTATATATTTACGAAATCTAAATCTTTTTCAAAGATTTTGTAGAGACTTAAAAATTTAGACTTTAAAACATCGAGTCAAGTTAAAAGTCAACAGGGATCAACGATATAAGATATTTTAACAAAGAATTAGAGACTAATTGCTTAGAAAACCTGTTTTTTTGAAAAACAGAAATCCAAATAAAACTAATAGAACTGTTTATTTACCATCTTCCTCTTCGCAGAAGACATACTCTTGTATAAATCTATTGAGCATGTTTTGCATTGCTTGGTCTGGTTCATATACCAATTGATGCATCAGAGGATTAGTATGTGTGGTCAGTTGATTGCAAAAGACTACTAACAAGTCACATATTGTATTGTATGCAACTTCTCTCAAGATTGGCGGCGATGGCTATTTAATATAAAATACATATTATTTTTATATAAGATATTAATACTATAACTCTAATTATTTTTCAAATTTGTGTAAAATATGTAATTACTGTGCCGCTACTGTCACCACTGACAAAATGGCGCATTGAACCCATGAATGAATGCAATCGTTCTTTCAACTGCCGGCATTCGTCTTCGCCACGACTGCCCGAGTCTACAGCTTCCATCAAATGATTTTCGCCCCACAAGATGGCGAAGAAACATGCACTTATACAATATTTAACTGCCTTGTGTGGTAAACATCTATGCATAAGCAATATATATTAGTTTATATATCTACAAATATTTCATGTAATTATCATAAATATAAAAAGGAAAAAAGTACTTTGAAGGATCCTTTGCGTCTTCAATATCCTTGTACAATGAATCCCAAATGCCCCAGGGATTTATATTATGACAAGCATAAAATATGGACACTTTTTTAAGTGACTGAACAACGTTAAATATTTCATCTTCATCTGGTTCCTCGTTTCCTTCAATTAAATTTCTATATTCATCGATCGCCTCTTTGTATTTATTTACAATAGAATCGATCAATGTTGAACGAGCAACATCACACCTATATGAAAATAATTTAAAAAAATAATTTTAAAAATAATTTTAAATATTAAATATTTTAAACAGATAGCGGCATGTATACAGTTAAGAAAAAAATCATAAAAATATACCTGGTAAAGATAGCGTGGCCTTCCACACACATATGTTCTAAAGTTTTAGCCGCAGTATCCAAAACTTCGGTATCATGCATTTTTTCTACGATTGTGTGAATTTTACTTAATAAAGAATCTAAATTAATTTCCTTTCTAGATTTAGTATAAATATCTAAATCAAAATACTGTGGGATTGCGAGTAAATTCGCCAATTTTTCAGGATCTGCCCCATATTTGTCGAGCAATACTGGTAACGTTTGAATAAAATGTTCTGTAAGCTTTTGTTTATCATCGTGAACCTGTTTCAATTCCTTCACTGACAGAATTTTTCGAGTGGGTCCACGGCCGACTGGTGCTTCGCCTGTAGCAGCTTGTTTTATGCAACATACCATCAATTCAATAAGAGAAGTTTCTTTCTGATTATCCAATGCTTCCTCGTCAGGACCAGCTTCTTCCAATAATAAATCCGTCATACATTCCCAATCTTTCATCATTTGATTAGTTTCAATCAACGAGTCAACTAGATATGCTCCGTGTTCGTGTAATTCGGATTCGATGAAGAACAGAACGAGATCGCGTATGAGTGGCGTATTTGGCAATCGTTTCTTGCCACGTCTGGTTTTAACGCCCGCCATAGCTTCATCATCTGGACGGAATAAACGTTCGTTCAGAAATTCACCAGCCGCCTGAGCAACCGCACGATGCGATGAATAAACAAGTTCATATACGTGCTCGCAGTCTTTATCAGTGAGAATCTCCCTGTGATGTTTCAAGATCGAGATTACCAATTTCACAGCCTGCACCGCCACATCGTACTCCTTGTCCAACGTCATCGCAACAATTCTATCTTTGAACTTACTCGTAAATAATTCGAGTTTTGTTTTTAGTTCCTCTGAGGCATACAGCGGTTGCAATGCCTGCAAACACTTAAGTCTTACTTCTCCAACTTTATCATGTAAAGTCCAACCTGTGAAATGTTTGACATGAAAATGTATCTGTGCCTTTACTTTAATATGTAAAAATAAAAGAACTGTTATATACCAATATATTTCAAATAGGAATCATCTAAGAAATTTTGATGAAACTTCTTCATCCAGACTCCGATCTCTGCCATGCAAATCGCGCGTATTTCTGGCAATGTATCTCTATACCTATGAACAAAAACAGATTTGAACATATAGGTAAGCATGTTCTTTATTTCATCCATGTTCTCTTCCAATTCCTTTCGCTTTGCCATTAAAGATTCTAATCTGTCTGCCGCCCTTTTCTCTCGAGCTTTTTGTCTCTCTGCTTCATACTGCCGTTGCGTATTGTCTAAATTTATAGATACAGTTAAAGCAACGTCTACTAAAGCTGTCATTAATTTCATAGCTGCAAAAAAATTATTTCATCAATACATAGATACATAAATCGTTTGCAAAATAATTTATAAAGGCATTTTACTGAACCCTTACCTGCAAGCGTTGCAGTATGTCTAAATGCCCTTACTTGAGAATCTGATAGACCAGTTAATAAAGAGATAACGTTATCCATTAAAAATTGATCATAGATAATTGAATATTGGCACTGCCGAACAAGAATTTGCACAAATTCACAGAAATTTGCGCGGAATTTCTTCCATTGTTGTCCAGTCATTATCAATGGATATTCACCACTTTCCTGAGAAGAGAATCATGTAACCATAAAGTTATAATCAAACATTGTAATTTAAGAAACATACTTCATCAAATTCTTCGGTCATCTTGCGAATAATTGCTACATGTTCCATAGTCAGTTGCATCTCGGAAGTGATTCGACCTCTACAGCCACTTGCATTGATAAAAAACTGCATCAGCATAAGCAGTGCATTTTCCCTATTACTTTTGTACTTTTCTATCCAGTCATCAACAATGGTCTATGATAAAATGTAAAGATTTTCATACATTAACTTTTTCTTGCACACTTATTTCTACATGAATTATGATCAATGAACCTACAGTAAGTGAAGAACGATTATTCCTAATAACATTATAAAGACTAGCTTCATCTTCTAAACTGTGCGAATGATGTGCTCTCTTGTTACGTCCTCGTCCACCACCACCTCTGCCCCTGGTGCCAGACGATGGAACATAATCCGTATCAACTTCTTTGTATTTGGGTTGTTGTACCACTCCTCCTATAACATTAAATGTTATAATTTTCAATACTATCCACTATAATATCTATATCATAAATCTATATATATTTCATATATACCACGCATTCTGGCACGTGTGTTCCGCGTGATCCTCATGTTAGAAGCCGCTGGTGTAGCGGGTGCCTCGAATTGTGCCTGATTATCAAAATTTCCAGATTGTTCCTGATATTGCTGTTGAGATGTACCTGGTGAACTATAGCTTTCAGAGGAGTAATGCTCCGGTCTGTAGATATATAATAATGTATTACAATTCTATCTAATAACCGGTGACAATTCAATATTCATTGACAAATCTTAATTGAGATACTTACGTGGGATTGTGCAGTGGAGTCTGAGATGCCTGATTGTACGGCGTGTACGCGTTATAATCGTTCGCGTCCCCGCCGGAATTATCGTTCATCGGAGTCATCGGCGTCATTGGCGTCTCATATTCCGGTGGCACCGGATCGTCCATGCGGATCCGTTTGCCTCCCCGTCTGTGTATCATCGTAGCGTTTTTCGAGTTTTTGGCGCGCACCAAAAATAAAATCCGTGTTCTCAGGGAAGCGCGTGGCGGGCCGTAATGAACACGCGCAAATCGTGTCGCCCAATTATTTCATTAAACACGACGAACACGCTGAAACACACCATTCGGACGTACTGGAACGACCGATACCTCCCGCGAAGAATAATACCTCTCAAAAGCGTCAGCTCGAAACGGTCAATGACAACAGTCTAAAGGTGCCATTATGTGTCGAGCGTCGACCATCTGCGCAGAAAATTATTGCGCATGATTCCGATTCCCGCTTTTTGACGCAAAATGGTAAGTGACAGAGGTTAGGTTCCGATATACATTGCTGTTCTACATGTACTGTTCTACATGTACTGAAGACTTATATTTATTTACATTATATAATGTAAACTTCTAAATGTAAAATTCCATTATCAGCAGTATACATTGCATTCAGCATATTTCAGCAAAATTTATAAACATATCATCTGCGCTCACAGTGCTTTGATGTTCTTATGTAAAAGCACCTTAAGGACTCCTATGATGTCCAAAAATGCCAGGGCTACATTTGGAAAGATTATCCGAATGCTATCATTTTATCTTAACATTCGATAAACAATAAGGATAAAATAATACACGGAATCATTCGGGTGGATATTTCTGAAGAGTAGTCCAATAATTTATATGTAAATATTGCCGTCGAGCTAGGGATATTTCCAGTCGCCACCGATCGTCGAACGATTTCATTGGCCGCTCGGTATAAAATACTCTCAGATTCGTGAGGGCGCACCTATAGACGTCGCCATTTTCTTTTTAGACGCAATTTGAATTATTCGTCCTTCTCTCTCCTACTATTTCCAATTGCGACTCCACACGCCAAGAGAGAGAACGAGGCTTCTTTCCCGCACGAAAACGCGCGTTGGAAATTAGCGAGAGGTAAGTGACATAAACGTTCACATGCAAAAGATGTGGATTTCTTATAATGCGTAATGTATATTTTGTCGATTTTCAAATATGACAAGCTAAGACTCTTCCAGGTTTTAGCGAGGTTCTTCTCCGAGACACGTTGAACATCGAGCCGTCAAAATCAATCATGACTGATAATGGCGACTGGACAAAACTTCTTGAACTTCGAGGCGGTAAGTCCCGCACTAATGACAATAATACAAAATAATATAGAATACGTTTGAGCTTTTTCACTCTTTTATTATTCATACACTTTCGTTGTTATAATGATACGTAATGATTATACAACGATACTCTACAAGTTAGTTTTGATAAGAAATAAGGGACACGGATTCGAAAACGTTCCTGTCGTTCGCGAACGCCGACATTCCCAATACGATTTTCACATCTCGTATCCATTGCTAGATAAATAAATTCGATAATAAATACATTCTGATACATGAAAACAATTCGATATATTTAAGATGAATAAACATAACTTAAAATCAGTTCCAAAACTTTATTAATAACAAGCAATTAACGCATTTATTCTTCAATTATATTGTCTTCAATTATATTATCTCTTCTATCAGCTCAAATTCTAGTTCAATTTTGTTTTAAAATCTTGGCACGCGTCACGTACCATATTTTTTAATGTGTTACGTGAATTTTAAAGTATATTTATAATTATTTATTGAATTTTAAATGTTCAGATATATTTATGCTATTAAAAATCATAGAATAAGATGATAGAAGGAAAATATGATATAATTGAAAGATAATATAATTGCATCAAATGTTATTATCACTTGTTAAATAAAATATTGAAACTAAATTTAAGTTTTATTTATTTATTCTAAATATACTTATTTCTAAATATATTGAAATTTTTTTCGTATACTAGAATATATTTATCACTCTAAATTAATTTTAATCTTGATTTAACTTATTTTTTTATCTTTTTCTAGTTCCAAAAATTAGGAAAAGATAAATACATAAATTAAAACGGGATTCAAATTAATACATTTGGCAGACATGGGCATTAGAACGACTCCGATCGAATTTTTTTTTAATTAAATAAATTCATTCGACCAGCAGAATTGCTTAAAGCAAAGCTTCTAATTATGCATATGTATAATTCCTCATCTCTAATTTGATCTTTTTCTGTGCATCAAATAATATATCAATAGTTTAACAAAAATATAATTGCACGTAAATGATATAATGCAAGCATTATTTCATTAAAAAAAAATTACCAATTATGTCAGTTAGATCAAAATCATGAAGAAATTCTAATTAGCGGCATACGTTTATCCAGATTTTAATATCGCGAATTTCGATTATAAATAATTTCTAATTTATAAATATTATAAAATTATAAATATTGATCTCATTGTCGAATATTAACAAATTGTATGCATACTTGAAGCTATTTTGAATCATAAAAAAATCAAAAATAATTCATAAATAATAATTGTAATCAAAAATAATTCATTCATAATAATTGTAAAATAATTCATACAGATTTGTAAAATCTGTATGAATTCATACATTACGGTAGCATTAGTTAGTCATAACAAATCGTTATAGCTCGATAATAATAAAAATAATACATAAGTTCTGGTAATAATTGTTTATGAGATAGATTAATTAATATATGATTTGTAATGATATAATCGACATTAATGAATGAGCTGACGGAAAATGAACGTCACAAACGGGAAGTCGGCGTCTTTGAAGCGTAGGACGAACGGCGATCGCGAATCCGCGTCGATCGGTTAATCTGCGGTACAGAATATGAAATGTACAAAGCGGACATGTCATTTTCTCTTCTCTCGTGCCGTACTCGCTTAATTGCCTACCATTTTCTAAGACTACGGCTTCGCGATTAGTCGCGCTTAGCATACTTTTCTTCCTTCCCCCTCCCTCCCCCTCCCTTCCGCGCGTTCCCTTCTTTTGCTTGCGTTTGCGAAATCGTCGTCGGCGAACGCGCCGCGAAATCGTCGTGCGAACGGAATCATTAAGGCGATTATCGTTATTAAGTACTACGATAAGTTTTGGCACTTACAGATTTATGATTGCGCTAATTGCGAATTGATACCGGCCGCGCTCCGGGAAAACGACCTTCCTCTGCACTATGTATAACATATGTATATTTGATATAAAAAATCTCCATTGTGCGGTGCAGCAAAAATTGCAACCTCTGTGATCATTTCTGATTGTTTTTTTTTTTGTTTTTTCTTTTCCACCGTGTTATCGTGGCCTTCCTGGAGATGGTTTTGCGATTAATTTGTCAGCTGCTCGCGCAGTTAATAACGCGCCTAATAACGCGCGAGTTATAAAAGGCCATTGTTCCCCGCTTCATTGCGGTATTATCGTCGGAGAGTTATTAATGTTTTATTAAGAATATCCCTGCCTACATATCGCGTTACAAAACTTCCATTTAATCTTATACTTGGCTACGAAGGCCTGAAGCTCCTTTTTACCTCGCTGTGGCAGAGCGAGAAAATCAATACGAGAAATCGTCTGAGATACATGCACGTATAAACATGGCAGTGGCTTAAATTGACGAAGTTCATTTTTTTTTTTTATCGAGAATCTAGTTCTTTTCTTTGCTGGCTTCCTTGCGGGTCGCGTGTGACTGTTGTACACGAGTTATTGCTTTGACAAATCGCTTTAGCTCGAGTAAAGCGACGCAAAACCACCGATGTTACAACGATTGTAATACGCGCGTCCCTTGAATCTATGTATGTTCCCAGAAAAAAAGCCAAGTGTACTTTCGAATAATGTATATTTGAGTTACTAAGAACTGATTCTATATTGCGATATTGTGGAAAATACGGGGTGATCGTCACTTGCCTTAATGAACTGAAAAGAGAAAAGATCTGCGATATCTTTTGTGATTTTAACGAAATGCGAAGATAAAACAGAATACGTCTCACACATTAATTATTCGATTTTTAATTTAATCTGAACTTCAATGTCTAAAAAATAAAATCGGTATCCTGGTCAGTGTCCAGTAATGAAGAATTGATTTTGAGATAGCATCTTTGAGAGAGGGCGGATTTCGCTTGATAAGGCAAGTGATTATTAATAAGCGAGATCGAAAGTTTCCTCGTTTGAATGTGAAAAAATATAAATGAGATTGGCACAGCGATCATTCGAAAACACGGATGCTCGTTAAGAGACACAGAGAGGAGAGATAAGCGACAGATCATTGGTAACTGTTACGCGTGTTTCGTGTGTAACATTCTTACGCGAGCCGTGGCCTTTTCACTAAGAAACAAAATAAAGAAGAAATAAAAGCTCTTTATCCTCATGTATGAGATGAAAGGCGTTATCTCCGATATTCGCTTCGAGGCACGTTATTCTTCATGGACGCAATATGCTTGGATCGAATGCAAGGATCAACAATTCCTTGCCTACGTTTTCACGTTAATCGATGGATGTGTTTGTGGAAGTAAAATTCAAACGAGGCCGAAATCCGTATGAACGGTGACGTCACAGTTGTTGGGCTTATCGGCGGCTGCCATGTTCACCTCTACCAAGGTGTCCACGCTGTTGATCGGGCAGCCCTTGAGAATCTTTTGCGCCGCTAGACTGGTGAATTGCACCTGCATGTCGCTAAGACTGGGATAAGAATGGAGATCCGAGCCACGACTCACGGTCTTCTCCAGATTTGGCTCGGAGCCCTGGGGGGCCCGCTGCTGCTTCACCGTCTCGAGGTTCTCGATGTAAACATCGTTGAAGGAGCCGCCGAAACCATCGTACGATTTGGTGGGCGACGGTGGATTCGAGGCGATGTTGTTCTTTGAACCTGGATGCAATAGATTGCGGTAACTCAGCGCGTCCTTCGACAGCGACAGGCTAAGCTTGCGCGAGTTGTTCATCGCGTCGTTGGTGTTCTTCGTGGTGGACAACGCGGTGGCTTCGTGCGCCAGAGCATTCTTGTCGACATTATTGCTCGAGCCATCGATCAGATGGACCTGACTGTTGTTCAGCCGATTCGTCAGTTTCAGTTTGCTAGGCACTTCCTCCTCGAGTTTCGGTTTGTTCTCCTTGTCAGATTCTGAGAGTAGAAGACTCGTTTTTGGTTCCTTCGGCGTGTAGAGCGACGACGGACGTTCAGCTTTGACCGACTTGTTCAGCTTTTCGTCATCTAGTTTTGACTTGAAGAGCTTTTCGTCATCCACCCGAGTCTTGTAGGCCTTCTCGGTCACCAGCTCCCTCTCTTGCTTCTCCTTGCAGTCGATGACTTCCTTCTCGGCGATCTTCGTCTTCATCGTGCCGTTCTCGAAAGTGATTACGGACCTCATCGGTGAGTTATTCTGCTGAACGTAGATCTTCGTGCCGGGCGAGCCGGAAATAGTCGTCGTGCTGGTCGTATTGGACGCCAGCGTCACGCTATTCTGTATCGTCCGTTGCTCCTGCGACGACGGACTCAGATTGGTGGACACCTGAAGGGTTATTGAATTCTGCGCCTCTTGAAGAGGAGTCAGCGAACCTTGCTGAACGACTTTCAGCGGTGACGATTTCGTCGACAGCATGGCCATTTTCAATGGCGAACAAGTCAATTTTGTACTTGAAATCGACTTGCCGCTAGAATGAGACGAGTGACCCGACGAAGTTTTTTGTAATACCTTGAAATAACAAAAATGTATTTAAAAATTTAAACGAAATTGAATAAAATTGAAAAATTAAAGAAATTGTAAAGATGAATGATCTAATTATTATTTATAAAAAATACATGCAGTATCGAAATTTTAAACTTTTGTCATATTTTTAAACGACGAATATGGAAATATTAATAACTCTGTTCTATTAAAGGAAGATGCACGTGCGAGTGTGCAGATATTTCGTTACATATTTATAACGGAATTAGAAATCTACCTTATGCTGCGGAGAACCGTTGGCCGACTTAGTGCCGCCGTTGCTGAAATCGTGACTCGGCCTTCTGGAGTTGGACTGCCTTGTGTTGGGCCTACCCAACGTGGTCGTTTTAGCTGGAGTGGCGTTCATCATTCTAACCGAGCCAGAGCTACCACCGCTTCTGCTAGGCGACGAGTTCGTTGAATTTTTATCATTTTGCGTTGGATTACGCGTTTGATAGGCATCCTGATTAGTGGTGTTGGACGGTAGAACGGACGCTCTGGACGTGCATCTGCTTAGGCTGGAGCATTTGGATCTCGGTAGAGTGGAACACGGTGATCGATGTCTTCGGGAGCTCCTTGGCGTCGAATTGGCCAACAAACTCGAAGAGTCACCGCTCGCTTGGCGCCGATGTCGCCTTGGCAAAGTGGCCGATCGCACCGAGCTCGAGTCATCCCACACTTGGAAACTGGCCTGCGATTGATCTAAGCCCTCCATCATCTGAGAAGAAGATTTTATCGATTTGACTTCGCGACTCGAGATTCTTTGGAACCGCGGAATTCTTATCTTCCGTTTTGAATTCAATAACTCAATCGCTTTGTATTATCTCCATTTATTATTGTTATTGCATTTCCACGTCAATTGATAACTTGGTACATTGTCGCCTCAAGAATTTTCATTAATTATCGGGAGAACCGGTTAATTAGCCTTGCGGCGCTGGGAGTGCTATGTAAGAAGTTTCGTTTTGCTAGTTCTTGTTGGGCAATACCTGTATATGTGCAACTTACCGAAGGGCTGGCGGCCCTTGTCTGCGTGGCAACGCTATGCAAATGCACAACGCGCGGATTAAACCACTCGGTGGGGGGATACTGAGCACTGAAAGTGCCCATTAATGGTGCGCCCTTCCTCCTTGTACTCCGCCGAAAGAGCCTTGAGAGCAGGCCTATCTTTTCTGAAAAAATCCCAGAAAAACCTTGAGGAAGGGATTTGGATTTGTTGCGCTTTGTCAAAAAACAATGAGGATCGAGGAAGGGTTTGCCAGCTACAGGGTGACTAAAAGCTACGATTTGGATTGTCTCATATGGTTTATATATATATATATATATATATATATGAAATATTTCGCAATGATTACAATTGTTTATAATTGTCCCAATATAATCGGTAAATTCATTAATCATAAGAAAATTCGAGAAATAATGTATAAAAATGTAAAATAAATTAATAAAATAACGTTGCCTATCTGGCGAATATAAAAATAATTATGCAAAAATTTCCGACCGATGTGTAAAATTTACTTTAGCAAAATTTAATCTCTGAAAGGACAGTTATATACAATCGAAAGTATTTTTGAATCGATTCATCCATCACCCATTAAAGCGGAGTCACCCATCACCATGCAATCCCTTCCCCAATTAAACTCACTGGTTGGACTGTGAGGCGCGCTATCCGTGCTCGCGTATTCCGCGCTGGAAGACGTGTCGCTCCTTTCTGGTCTTCGTGGCAGGGACCGTGAACTTCCGCTTCTGTGTAAACGTCTGGCCGAGCCCCAAAGCCGCAGAGAGTGTCGCCTCTCGAGACGGCCGGGCATCGACCGACACCTGGCGAACAGGACCTTATCGTTGGGATTTCCTGGAAGAAAGATAGTCAACGTTGCTCCTCACGCCTTACATAATATTACATTACATAACATTTTATAATATATATAAAAGAATATTTTTATACATGTATATATTATATGAAGAAGATAAAAAAACAAATGTAAACAAAGAAATTATTTAAAAATGCTGATGAAGTGACGATGTCCGTATCTTAGAAACTTGATTATCCTCATATCTACTCATCGTATTATCTGTTAAGTTACATATTTGGGGAAAGTGTGTATCGGGAAAATCCAGGTTACTCAAATTAAACGGAGCGGCAGGGAAGAGTAAATTCCTTCGCGGCGCGGAGATGACCGTGCAAATGTCAGAACGGTGAGACGACGCGTTCGTTCTGGTTAAAAAGGGTTAATATCACGACCGAAATGTATTGCAATTAAAAAAAAAAAGAAAAAAAAGAAAAAAGTGGAATACCCTCATTCCTGAGAGTTTCATCTTGGTACATAGCCACGGGCGATACGCCGACGTACCGACCGGCGACGAGTGGGTTACCAGCGTGAGAATCAGCCGAGAAACGAGTAAGAGAAAGTAGGAAGATTATATACGTCGTCGGTCCCCTACCCCTCCTACGCCACAATGATGTCGACAGCGTATGTAACCGGTAGACGAATAGTCGTGACCAATAGCTAATATATTGGTTGTGCTAAACGCTATCCAGGCATCGTCGGCTTCTCTAACCCGTCCTCTCCTTCTCTCTTTCCCTTTTCCTTCTCATTCTCATGTGTGCGCCGTGCCGATGCTCGCAGCTCTATTCCTTGCGTACACACATTTCTCTCTCTCTCTCTCTCTCTTTTTCTTCTCGACGCATATTATAAGAAAAATGAAAAATGAAAAAAGAAACGCACCGCAAAAAGCTTCCGCGTGCGCTGTGGGTTGTGGTACGGAGGTCTCGACCGACGATATATCGCAAAGAAAGGCAAGAACTTTTTGTCGGAGACGATAAAAAGCCACGAGAGATAGAAGAGGCTTCCCGTTGTGGCGACAATCGAAACGACAATCGCGTCGGGATTTTTCAAGAGTAATCGGGGGATCAGCGCGATGTTTCTCGACCGAGAGAAACGCTGACGACAGAGATGGGGAATAAGAATGTGTATAGCAGAGGATATTGTTCCTTTCCGAGGGATTTCCGCGAACGTGGCAAAAAGCGAAATTAAGATCGCACGCTGATTTTTCGTACGCGGTCGCGAGAGGAATTGACGATCTTCCGCCGGCGAGACTTGCGTGGCTACCAAGGACGACAACAACATAAACGCTCTCCCGACCCGTCCGTCGAGTCGCCGGCAGAAAAAGGCCCCCCCGAGAGTGAGTAGCTTAGCGAACTGCTCTCCTCCTGGACACAATCGGAACGTTTCCCGAACACGTGCCGAACGAGTTTGCCTGGGCCGACCGGTCTCTCCGCCGAGCGAGCGAGTTCGTTCTCGCGAGTTTTACGAGGGCTCCAGCTTCCTGCGCATCCTCTCCCGTGAGACACGGCGAAATCGATCTCGGACTTAGCCACGGCCTTACGCGCCTTCGTCTTTTGTGCGCACGTCATCGGCCTCGACGTCGCAAAAATTACGCGAGGTATTATAAGTACACAGACGTACCTCTGCACGTACGCTTTATGATACGCCCGCAGCGCACATTAATTCCTCTCCGCGATACTCAACGGCTACATTATTTAATAAGAAGAATTTCTTCGTTTCGCCGTGCTATATTTAGTACTTTCCTGAAACATAATTTCGTACTCGCATAGTGCACGTCCGCGTCGCGTCGTGGAAACGGTGCTAACGCGTTAAATTGATCGGCGATGCATTATAAATTAACTATTGCGATTAATTAATCGCGAGATGGCGATTTCGACGGGAGGGGGGGGAAACGTGATTATGGGAAACTTTCCCTCGCGCACCGCAGGAGACAACGGGATACGCGACACTCTAATAAGACGCAAAGACCTCCGCGGTTACTACCGAATGAAGACGAAAGCACGCTAATCGCGTCGTCATCCGACACCATCTTTCGTTCGCGACATACATACAAGCGATATTTTCACAACGTTGAATTTCTTACACGACAACTTCCTCGTGGAAGTACGCTGGTAATATATCTACGTTTCCTCGTGATTAATAGCGTGTCTCGTTTAACATCGTTTACCTTACTTCACGTATTTTTATATTCCATATCGACTGAAATATTTAAAGTAAAGAAAATTTTGGTGAGGCAACTTTTTTCAAAAGTCATCACGCTAGCACATTATAGACTTTGTCTATTGAAAGAACGGCACGGGAGGTGACGTCAGGCTCGGAAAATAATTAGCGAGGCTCGTTTTACCTCCGCAAATAACGTCCGCCAGGTTCGTCTGTACAGCCTGATGCGTAACATCGCCGTCTCGCAGAGTAAGCATCTCGCCATGTACGAGTGCCATCGCCTCGTCGTTGCTCATCAGCATACTACCCTGACCTCTGGACCCGTTCATATCCCTGGAACACCGCCTGGAGCTACCGGAGTCGCGTCTAAGCCTTTTCGTCTCGGGCGTTACGACGAAGTAGCCCTGAGATGTGTGATAGATCTTCCGCTCTTGCATGAGCTTGGCGAGCGCGTCATAAACGAGCTCTCGGCTGGGCCTCTGCATTGCCGGGAAGGCGTTCCTCAGGGCTGATCTGAGGGTGTCCAAGGTCGCCGCCTGCCTCTGGGAAGTCAGCTCCAGAATAGCCCAGCACAAGGCTTCTGGCAGCGGCGTGAACTGACCTTGAGAAACTGGAGCCACTAGACAATCCTCTATATCACCTGCGAAACAGAAGGGGCCCGAGATTAATACGCCAGCATCTTCGGGCCGGGCGTCCGGAGGCCACGTTATTTTTCTAGGAATTAATTGAACGGCGAGTTCGATCGTCCGGCCGTTTTAGCCGTTTTACGTAACCCGTTTCTACGCTTCAATGTCAATTTTTTGCCGTTATGGCATCCCACGTGCCGGATTTTACGACCGTTTGTCACATTAGCGCCTCTGGGGATAAAATGAGCAGCAGGATGATGCCGTAATTTTATATTTTCCATTTATCTCTATCGCCGTCGCGGTAAATTCTTCCCCTTTGCCTTTTGACATGATTGCGTAATTTTATTTTCAAGGCTGTCGCCGACGAAATGTAATAACTATTCAAATCCAGTGACACATTCAAATTATATTCTTGTAATTAAAGCTGTTTTAATTCGAATCGAGACCTACCTCGCATTTGCATACGTGTTACGACTGCTAAGTATTTCATTAGGAAGCACACGACGATGAGAAAGAGTCACGTTGGGTTTCATGCCGCGTTCGTGATCGCGAGAGTCCCAGTGAGTGGAACAGAGATACGGGCATTCCAATTACGAATTAATCAAATTCCTTCCACGAATGAAGTCAAAGAACAAACGTGATCGGTGAATATGAAAAAAGGCGGCGAATTTATTAAGCCCGGGCGGCGGTGATTCGGATATTGTGGAAGAATCGAAATCCTTATTCTTCCAGTCACGTTTTACGGTAACCTGGCGACACTGCGACTGCGTGCTCTCCTACGTTTAGGTTCACGCCCACAAAAAGAATATGGATTATTCTAAACTCGAGAGTCGGCAGGACCTCGAAATGCCCCGCGAGGCCCGCGCCTCGTTCGTGCGACGAATCTGTAATGTCGATTCGAAGTCGATACAGGGAAAGTCAATATCAGTGTGAACTTGAAACGCGCACGACTCTCCCGCGTCTCTCTCTATCGCAATATCATTCGCGATAAAATATATTTATAATATTTCCAATCCGCAAAGGATACGCCGCGCACAGAAGAAAAATGTCTGTTTGTGAAATCGCTGGCTTATAATCAAAGGTTTCCCACCGATAGAGAAGCTCCGTTTCAAGTACGGGAAAGTCGACTGCCAACGTCGACATATACGTGAAGCGTACCGAGCTCTTCTGGACCGTTGAAATATTTTAATCAATGTAATCGCGGCTAGTATGCCGAGACCCGACAATGCATTCGCGGAGCCACTTGCTCCACCGATCGTGTGTAATTAAAGGTTTGAGCCGACCGGAGAAGAAGCTCTATTTAAAGTTCGTGCGATCGCGGGCCCGCCTTCTCCAAGGCGCAACTCTGCAATTTCCCCGCATGTCTGTCAACGGTTGCCTTTGTTGTTCGCGAGACAGGGCAAGACAGGAAAGAGCGGGTCTCCAATTACGCGTGTAACCAACGTGTAGAAAACGCCCGCATCGCGAGCTCCCGTTAAACAATTATCGTAAATAGGCCGAATAAGTCCGCCTTCCTACTCTCCTATTCTTTCGGGGTATCTCGCTGACAGAACGAGTCTTGTCTCGTTGTTGCGCCTTTACACGCCGACATCTATCTCCGCTTGATACGCGCGTTTCGTAAAGCCGGGTAATACGTAAAAGCGGCTTCGGTAACGCTTCCACTTTCAACTTGAACATTATTCTCACGTTCGATGCTCATTGAATAGAGGAGGTGCCCATTTAAACTTCGACTTGCCTTATACTCCGACTACTTAGCGAAATTGTTTCTCACGCTCCACGCTTCATTTGAGATCCGCATCTACAGTTTAGTTAATGAAATAAGATATCGTGGTTCATTCATTTATTCCTTTCTGGGACACGATCCTGATACCTCGTTTAACGCTTGGTAAGGCACGATACGGCGATCACAAGAAAATTCGGACCTTAACGATATTTCGAGTAAACATTATCGTCTATTTACATCTCTCTTCGCCTCGCCAAGATGATCTATTAAATTTTCTCGTCGCGACTTCGAGCAAGTGGCACTTAAGTGCTCACGTGGGAGCGGCCAGTTTCGGTTTCATTCGCGCGAGCGAGATCTTATCCCGTAAGCGAACGCGGCATGGAAAAAAAGTGCATGATCTACGTCATCGCGCCGGGAGATCGCGAAGAAAACGAGGCGTGTATCACGGTGGCGTTGCACAATTTTCAAGGAGCTTTGTCGTCGACAAGACGGACGGAAAGACGGACGTCGAAGCGAGGTCAGCGGGATCGTGGAACTCGATACGTCGGTTTTCTGGGACGCGTAGATGCTCGCTGACTCGCATTCCACACGTCATGAGAATCCCGTCCCGAACGTGTCCCGAACGTGTTCTCCGCGTGCGTTATCTCGCACGCATTATTCACTCGTGCGGCACTCCAAATTTGAGAGGTCGTCGACCGGCGAAGATCGTGCGAATTTGTCGCGATGAAAGTTGTCGAGAGTCCCCCCCCCTTCCCCCCCCCGTGACATCGCCAGGTCTTTTTATTTCGTTTCCGTTTTACACACTTTTTTCTCCCAGAGCGGAACGTTTCTTATTCTAACGATCGAGCGATCTTTCTCCTTTTTATTTGGACGATTAGATGATATCCGGTTGAAGGCGGCTAAAGCCTCCGACTCGTTTTACTCTTGAAATTAAATCGTCGAAGCGTACGCGCGCAATTTCAGATGTACACCGGGAGAACACCGACAATTAGACGCGCGTCATAAATTTTCCGGAAAGCGTTCTGCATGCGTCAAACCGCTCCATTTGTCGTTTTGTTTTCAATGCTGCGGCCGCGTGATATAAGACCGACCGCGCCATCGATCGGGACGTACGATTTATGGCCGATGGACATTTACCACCCAACTAGCGGTTGTGCAAATGGCCATTAACGGTTTATTCTTATTTTTGTTAGGCTATGCTTTATGACTCGTCTATGCCTATGGGTAGAATTTAAAAGAACGTCGATCTCGCATCGACGGCTGTTTCGATTCCTGCGTCGCTCTATCGTTTTGCGGCTTTCTCTCGATCGCAGATCTCGATATTGCAATGTCATTTTGTTGTACAAAGCCGCTCTTATTATCCGAGTACAAAGTACTCTAAATAAAATCAGGTAACTGGATCGGGAGGGGAGAGGAGCGTAGAGGGGAAGGGTGGAGGAGGGGGAGTCTTGATATTTATTCTTTTCTTTTTCATTGTTATTCATTGTGCGAGTTGCAACGAAACGTTTCTCTCTCAGCTCGTCTCGAGTTCCGCGAGATGCGACCACGTCACGAATAACGACGCGAAGTCGACGACACCGATCCGCCGGGGGAACAGTAGATACAACACCGCGAAGCGCACACCTGCCGACCTGCGGCGACCCTGCGAAAGGCTATTATTAGCATCCTGCACCTTTCTATCATTCCGCGAGACTTTATTATAATACCGCTCTGTGCACGCGCGCGCGCGCGCGCGCTGCCCACGTAGACAGCATTTGTTTGGTTGTCTCGAAGAGAAGTAAAAGGTAGAGAGCCGGGCTGGCATTCGGGTCGGTCTATCCGCGCCCACGCGAAAATATATCGAGAAATATCACTGCGGGCAATGGACGCGGGTGCGGAAAGACGCCGGAGACAGGAGACTGTCGAGGCTGCCGAGGGGAAACGACAGAGAGAGAGAGAGAGAGAGAGAGACTGGTTACTTCTCTCAGACCGTTCTTCGAAACGCGAGCGCGGTGGGATCACTTCCGGTGTATACCGTACAAGCTGCAGAACACGCTGCATATATCCTTATCGCCGTGATCCATCGTGTTGGTTGGGTTGGTTGGTTGGTCGGTCGGTCGATCGGCCGACCTCCGTCGCCTTTATGGCTATGCTCATGGGAAATGGCAAAGACCACTCGCCACTCGAGGAATCACCTCGTAACAAGGCGACCTTTGAGTCGCGTATACTCTCCAAGAAAAGAGTCCTCGGCGATTACCCGGGATCGCTGATTATATGTAAAATCCTTAAGACGCCACTTCATACCCGCGGCTATATATCGATTCCGCGACTCATTCTCCCTCATTTGTTTATCTTACCGGCCGGCCTCTTTTTGTCGGATTATGTCAGAGTACGCGAGAGCAAATACGGAAATCATACGTTAGATTAATCACATGTTAGATTGTTGATTGCATGGTATAACGGCGTTGACAGCACCGCGGAAACCGTCGTATCTTTTCACTCTTCTAAAAGGCACCGCATTCATCCGGAAGATTAAATATAAGACCGGACATATTTCACTCTCTATGAGCGGTGTCACCTTAAATAATACTAAATTAATTAAAGTTAACGAACGTTTAGGTCACTTCCCCTCGAGTTTTGTTCGTAAGAAGAAACGAGAGATCAATTATCTCTAATTAATGTTCATAGAAACAGTTCTAAGAATCGATTCTATCAACGTTCATGAAGTAAATTAAGTGTTGTTTTTTTTTTTGTAATATTGATTAGAGTGCCAGTAAGGATAGGTTATTCATTTAAGCCTAATCATGCTCGTTTCTATTAGCATCAGTGTTAGAAGTAATTATTAGAAATAAGTTAGAATTTTTGACTGACAAGTAAGTATCCTTGCACAAAATTATTTTAGAAATTATTTTAGAATATTTATAATACAAATATAAATTTAAGAATAATACAAATATATTTGTATAAAACTAATTTTTAATAAATCGACACTCAAATATATTTTATATATTTCTTGTTATATATTTCATTATTATCAATTTCATTATTATCAGCTTTAAATCTAAATTTAATTTTAACGGAAATTTTATTAAACTGAAGATTAAGATGAAAATGATAGAAGTGGGTCTAAGTCGACGTTGATGGAATCAACTTTGAGAACAGCTGTCGAGTGAAACTCTCAGAGACTACAAGACAAGAAGAATGAAGCGTACGGAAGAATGTGCAGTCCTTTCGGACAAGGCGTGGTTGGCTAATGTTCGGTTCACCAGATCTCTCATTCGTTCCTATTCGAATTTATGCATCCCTGTCGGT